CCTTGAAACAATGGAGCCTCAAGAAGAACCTGCCTTTTCCATGTTTTTGCCTTGCACTATAGGCTCTTTATCCAAAGATGAAAAAGAATGTCATAAAACCACACACACAACGTAGGTTACTGGTACCACCCTGAACTGTATTTAAGGTGGATTGCCATGATAAAAGGCAATAATTAGCATTGGTATTCTTGAATCTGGCTGTAAATCACATATTCAGTAATCTTCATATCTAACGTGTACATTGATGTTCATAATGTACAGAGTATCTGGAATTACCAACAGTATTCCAAAAAAATTGTGATTTTTCTACCTGAAGGAATGCTGTTTTGAAAATAATTTTTGGCACACGTGAAGATGACATGAAGGTCCCCTTAACACAAAAATGTCATTACCATTAACCCCTTCCCATGTGCTTTTCAGGGGGTCCAAAAATGGGGTATTTAGGGGGTCAGACCCTTTTCGCAGCCAAATTTCAGCATATTATAAATGTCTTAGAGTTGTTATTCCTGCATTAAAATGATGCCACTTCAGGGTTCTTTCAAAGCAATATTCATTATGTTCCTCCAAGGACTGGGTGTGGCTGTCAGGACCCTCTGAAAAAGCAGATTTGGTCTGAAAATGCCTCTTGGGCCAGGCCCATTCTCTCCACACCAATGGGGTGTAGGATGGGGCTTAAATGAAAGTATTAAGCTTGAAGAAGGTGTCCTCAAAATATCAGGGTCATACCTCTTATAGTTTTGGAGATATTCCACTTTAGAGATGGCTAGGAAACAGACGCCCGAGCCCGAAAAAGTGCCACGCCCACTTTTTTGGACCCTTGTAGAAGGGAGACCATTTGGAGTGTAAGTCTAATATTTTGGATTTTTTCATATTGGGCCCATAAACTACAAAATATGTGAAAATGAAGCAAATCAGGCACCATGGACTGGGGAGCACTTGTTGATTTCAAATGGAATGCCCCTTTTAAGACCCCCATAATTCCATCAATTTTCCTCTTGTTCTCCTAAAATTCATTCTGGCTGCAGAGAAGTTCCCATATTTGATAATTAACCTAATTCAATGGAGGAAATCCCTACAATCTGATTTCCAGTGACGCCTAAAAAATAAAAAATCACTTGGCTCGTCAATCAAAAATAGGATTTTGGGAGCCCACCCCTCCCCAATATGATGAGCCACATTGATTTTTGGGCCAGAATCCTGAAGTATGGGCCACATAGAATCAGCAAGCCAAATTTCATCATCCTATCTATATGAGAAAAGAAGTTATAGGCCTCCAAAAATGCTGAAAAATGAAACGTACAATTTGAGACTGGCAAAAAGGGGCGTTGACACCCACATTTCAAGAGGCCGCCCTGCGAAAACAGTTTGAGACATTGACCTGAAACTTTGGATTTCTTCGTTTGGGACCAAAAGGTGTCTTTCCACAAAGTTTCAGAAAAATCTGAGAGGTGTCATGTACAAGGTGTCTCAATACTGGCTGTTTTGACATGGAATGACCCCTGTGGAGAAGGAGGCTTTAGCGTTAGTCTTAGCAGTCCAACATTTTGAAGTGTATGTTTCCATTGTGGGTGGTCCTGTCATTGTCTATTCTGACCACAGTGCCTTGGCATTTTTGGCAAAGTTTTGGGTAACAAGCTCCAGAGTGTTCCGATGGAGTTTAAGCTTGTAGCCATATAGCCTGGTAGTTAGGCATGTGGCTGGGAAAGAGAATGTGGTAGCGGATGCATTATCCCGTCTGTGACTGATTTGTGACCTCTTTTAAGGGTGTGGTGTTGAGCTCCCCCTCTTGGGGTAATGTTTTCTAGTCTTCCCTCTGTGTGGTCAGGGTTGAGTGCAGACTCCCTAGGCCACAGTTGCAGAGCAGAACTTGGGGAGGTCATACCCTATTTAGACTCCCTAGGATGGTGATCATTGCCTTGCCATTATTTTGGCTAGGCTTAAACCCATTGTGCTTTGTTTTGGGTGCATTTATTCTGGGTTTTAGATGTGTTTGCAAAATATAATATGGAAAAAAAACAAAAAAAAAAGGGAAATGTATCTAATAAACTCGTACATATGTTTACAAGGATTATAAAAGAAAAAAAATATGTGGGTTACAGAATTATTTTTGGTTTTTCTTTTCTTTTTTGAGGGGGGGAGGACTGTTATGCCCTTGGATCCTGGAAAAAGGCATAATAATAAACAAATAGTAATGCCTCCTCGGTTTGTAGTAAAATGTAGATATAGAGTAACACACATTTAGTGGCATGGCGGCTGTGCACTGTGATTGATGACTGGTTGGGGGAAACTGGGATGACACCTTGCGTCCTGATTGGGCGTCGGTCAGTCTTGGGAGATGGTGTCCCTTATAAATGGGCCAGAATGGAAGGTGGATCTGGATGCCGGAGCCCTTAAGTGCAGGATACTTTTTCCAGACTCTCGTTTCGACCACGCGGTTGATTTATTTTAATCGTCATGCATAAGACTGCAATACTTTGAGGAATACCCCACTAAACTGAACTAGCGAACCGAACGACGCGGAGCTATTCGCCGGTGGAGTGGCAGCTTGAGCTAGCCCTGGAACGCTATGGTGCCGTCCTGAGGGGAGGCAAGTCTCGGCTTTCCTTCCAGATTCACCAGTCCAGGCCAGCCTGCCTTCTTTTACAAGCGAAATCATATCCCTAGACAAATGTGACTGCGACAGTACCATTTAAGCGTACAGTAGAACTCGCCTAAACCGTCCTCGTATAAAACGAAAACTCGCTTATACATAGCCATGGGAACATATTTCAGTTGGGGGGAGCTGTGGAGAGACGTAATATGCTCCAAGTCCCACCAATAAAAAAAAAATAAAATAAAATAAATCTGCATATATGATACATGCTTTGAATTAAAGCTGTAACCGATTCTCGGATTGGGAACCGATCTACCTCCGATCATATAATGATCGGGGCATTCGAGCCGATTGCCGATCTAGCAAAAATCGGAAGAATCGGTAAGTGATTCCACCAGAGGCCAATCAACTACAGTAACTGGCCGCTGAACTCTGGCTGGCTTACAGCTTTATATCTACACGTAGTAACTTCACGGCAGTGCTCAAACTAAATGTAGTTTGCGGCTCTGCTGTCCTTAATAAGGTCACAGAAACTGCACAAGAGACAACACATAACACCAATTAAACCGGTCAGCCTAAAAAGTGGTCTATTCCTGTTTCTAAATGTCGATGAAATTGGATGCGAGGAAGAGAATACTGATAAACGAAATGCATACCCAGGTGGTGGGAAGATGCAGGAAAGGCATGTATTTGGCAAAGGTGGAGAAAAAGTCGTGCGTCATACTTTTATCTAGCAGAGTTGGACAAATTAATAAAGGCGTACGCTGAGTACGAACACTTATTAAAAAAAAAAGTACAGTTGCAGCTGCAATAGTGCGTGAGTTTGTGCGGCAGAAAATCGCAGACCGAGTCAATGCGAGAGTATTAAAAACAACCAAATGAAGGTTAAATTACGAATGCAGAAAACGAAATTAGAAATCCAAATGCTGGAGCATCAGTTACAGGTGGATGAGGGGATAACAGGTGGGTGATTTTACTTGTTTGAACAACATACAAAATATATATACTAAGCAACAAAAGAAACGCAAGTTAGCTAGTTAGATAAGCCGCTCACACACTGGATGCAAAACAAATTTTTCGCACGACTTTGAATGTAATCTGTCGTGCGAAAAATTCGTTTTGCGTCCAGTGTGCAAGCAGCTTTAATGTAGTACTCTTATGGTTACTCAGTCTAAGTGACCGCAAAACAAAGGAAAGTTTCATGAAACGAGTGTAAATGTGCACGCGCTAGTAATAAATTTGATTTTCTATAATAATTACGCGCAAACCTGTTTTCCGGTCTGTCTTTATTTAACTTGCGTTTCTTTTGTTGCTCAGTATATTAACCACTGCATTTGTTTTTGCAAGAAGCAAAAGAAATAAAAAAAAAATGCAAGTTTAAGTTGTCCTTATTTTATTCAAGATGATACAAGTGGAATCTCTTTTCTCATTCCAAGCTGATGCTAATAGGCCTACATTATTTCAGGATTATTCCACAGACTTTCATTTTCACATTTTAAAACATTAGTTGTTCTATCTTGAGGTTCTATCTCTGTCTTGCAGCCCTGTTATCTTGCTGTTTGGCAGATTTATGAATTTATGCTTCTTCTCTGCTCCACAGCCTTGTAGCAGTTTTGAGGGGCCATAAGAACCTGGCTGAGTTTTCTCTGTTGAACTGTGATTATGGTAATACTCTGAATTTAGAACCTATTGGGATATTTTTCCCACCACACTACTTATCAAACCACTTAGGTTGGAAAGAACGGGAAAAATTTTCATCTCCAAAATGCCCACCTGGGAAAGCATGGTTGCGAGGCTGGTAGGGATGTGTTGGCGTCAGTGACTGTCCTCCAGCTGCTTTTGGTTCGGTAGTGGAACAACAGGTGCCAGCTTTCTCTCCTCTTCGCACCGAGGTACTGCACCTGCTTCCGCCGGCGTAGCTAGCATCATCCTCTCCTTGTTCTGCTGAGGTGCTGCTGCCGGTGTTCGCTTTCTCCCCTTCTCTCTGAACCAGGGAGCTGCGCCGGCTCCCGCCGCTAACGTTAGCTTTCTCCCCCTCCACAGTGCTCGGGGAGGATAGGATTAGGCTGGCTTGGGGCGAAATGCTGTCTGACTGGAGTTGTTCATTTTGCACGCCCCATTCACGACTCTTGTAACTACCAAAACAAGACTATTAAGGTTAGCTGAAGAACTTGCGTTGACCTCTTTCACACCGAATACCGACTCAATGTTGCCCAAGTCGTAAGCTGCTCAAATAATGGTCGTCGTTGCACGTCAGGTCACTCGGAGTCATCGTAGCTTTCTGGTCCTTAGTTTCTGCTTCCACAGTGCTCACGGAGGATGGGATTTGGCTGGCTTCCTTGACCTCTTTCACACATGTATTGGCTAGTTTTCTTTAATTTGTCACGGCAGTGAAGTTTTTTAGACTGGCTCATTGGCGATGAGGTCAGCGCGTTTAACTGTTACTGGGGAGTCTGGGGTTCGATTCCCTGCTCGGGTACGCCTTCGGCCTGCCAAAGGTTGTTCTGTGATAACTATGCGAATGTAATTTACTCGAAAATAATTCCAAAGGAATCCAAGTTATTGTGCGTAGTACCCAACGGTGATTGTGTTTTCGTCCGCCTACATTTCGAGCAAGCATTGAATTTATTCGTTTGAATGGAGATATCTTCTCGCCGCTGCACGTGTTAGAACAAGACAGCCGTGACATATAGCCGTAATCTGCCGTGCTCAAGTTTGGTTGCTTTCACATTTGATACGAGTAGCCTACGGATGGATCGTGCCTGAGTCCACCTCTTCCAACTGTACTCGAGTACCGTGCCCGAGCACGGTACACTCGTGCTCGCACTTACCAAATGAACTAAACTATCCCTATCCCTGACCCTAACCTTAACCTAACTCATAGGTAATCCTATCCCTATCGCTGTCCCTAACCTTAACCCAACTCATACACAAACAATGGTTTGTTCGGCTCAAATTATTCTACCCAGGTCAACGGATCAGCCAGCTCACCAGCATAAAATACGTCAAAATGGATATTCACATGATGCCTCCTCATTCATAACAATAAATAAATAAAAAGGAAAATGAATATTATTTATAGAACGTTATACTGTTGGTTGTCTTTTACCCTTCAGCGATAAATGGAAACTGATGCTCCCAGCTAGAAATAAACTCAGATGGTCAGTGGTTAAGACCACAGTGTGTGACGCTTTGTTTGCTTTGCTTTGATCACGGGTTTCCAGGTTCAAATCTCACTGCAAACACTAATGCAGGGGTCACCAACTCCGTCCCTGGAGGGCTACCATCCTGTAGGTTTCTGCTCTTCCTCCCATTCAGCACACCTGATTCAACTAATTAGCTACTTAACAAGATCACGAACTGGGCAATTGAGTGACTAATTAGTTGAATCAGGTGCGCTGAATTGGAGATAGAGCAGAAACCTACAGGATGGTAGCCCTCCAGGAACAGAGTTGGTGACCCCTGCACTAATGTAATGTCTAACTTAACATGTAAATCTTTGTTCACAGCTTTATCGAGGGAGAAAAAAACAAGGGTGAATAAAGGACATAAAAAGTTGAAGAGACAGTAAACAGAGGTAGTGACGTGAGGGAGGAGTAAAGATGTGGAAACTGTAATTACCGCAAAATATTTTTTCCTCCCGCCGCATCTGCCCCTTCCTTTTAAAATCGTTCCCCCATAAATCTAAACCCCCTTCTCACTCATAAACCCCGCCCCAAAAAAAATATATTTGTGCCCTCTTTAAAATTGTTCTGGCAAAAAAAAAAAAAAACCCCAAAAAGTGGAAGTTGTGTGTGGTACTCTTGCCCCAAGCTGCAGTGCCCTGCCTCCTGTCCTCTCCGTTTATTTCAGTAGTCTTGGCAACGTTATGTGATGTCAAGATGACCTTTGGTCAGTTTCCAGTGGTGAGCAAGAAACGACTAGATTCAGAGTTAAAGTCTGAAGGCAAGTGCTTTTGAGTCGTCAGGTGGAAATTAGGTCGTAATTAGGTCTGGGTTGTCACATTTCACTACCAGCTTCCGCCCGGTTCGCGAACCACACGAATTTTGCCAAAATACACGACCCTAACACTGCCGCGTTTTGACTGTGCGACAAACACGACTAACGACCAATTCTTGCGTTCTTCTCGTCTGATCAATGACCTCCCCGTGCACTGTGCTTCCCTCCTTGCACTGGGGCGCTGCGGCTAATAGTGCTAGCTTCCTCTTCTCCACGAGCTTGATAAATGTCGGTCCCCTGCTCTACTGTCAGACACTTTAGCGAGGTACCGCAGATGCTGCTGTCTGTTGTTGGTGTTGACCCAATAGTTTTAGCTCTTTTTTGAGGCGTTGATAAAGAAATCTGAAATTTGCTTCAGCTCTGCCATTTTTTCCTACTGTAAACAGTTAACAGTCTGGTTGGTCTGCGCCAGTTTGAAAATTGTGAGCGATTACATCATGAAACCTAAACGTAATTTCCAACTGGATTGAAATTAAAATATCTTCAATATAACGACATAACCAAACTAAAGTTAAAGAAACATGTTTTATTATTGTAATTTTGTTTTTGATTTATAGCGATAAACATCTTAAAAATGTGTTTATTTTTACATTCACTGCGAATGTGCAGTTTATCCTACAAGTCACAGGGGGGTGCTGCAGAACCCTCAGCACTTCTACTTCCCACGGCCTTGCGCTCATACCGGACAGCAGCTGAAGTCCCGATTTTTCTGTAATGTTTTTCCATTAAATAAACATCGGATATACTGGATTTTATATAACAGATTTTCGCTTATGTCGGACAAAATGTCTAGTCCCGTCACAATGCATTTTCATTCAAAAGCACTCGTGTATACTGGACAAGCTGGTTTGCACCGTGCACATACGCAGTCGCAACAGAGCAACGAAATGAAGTTCAGCTTTCCTACACTGTTATAAACTGACTGAATTTAACAGTTAAATTAACGCGTTGCCTCCTAGTCATTTTAACTGTAAGTGGAATCCTGCGTGCATTTAGCCGTGGTTTACACTGAACATGCGCTGAACTCTGTTGTAAACCTATCGTAAAATTACAGTTAAAATTAAAGCTGCAAGCAGCGTTGAACGGGCCCTCGCACCCTTGTGCACGTTGGGGGTAGTGGTGAGATCCTGATGGGTGCAGGTGTGCACTCACGACCAGTGGACAGGTCAAGTACAGGCACCAACCTGTGAGAAAGTTTTGAGCGAATCATATAAAGCAGGAAGGAGTGATGAAAAGTTGATAGTTCATCCACCAGGGGGCGCTCTGAGCAAAACCAAATGCGGGCAGGTGCATTCAGGGGCAGACCGTCAGCACAAATGCAAAGTTTCGAGCAAATCGGCCAATGTTAATTTAAAATATGGCATTTCCTTTTCCACAAGGGGGCGCTATAGAGACATTTTGCTCCCCCCATTGGCGAGGCCCCTATCAGATTTAACAGCTTGCCATCCTTGACCTGTGTATTAATTTTTATGATGATACGAGCTCAGTAAAGACATCAAAAACATACACGTATTTTCATGGCAAAAGATCCATCTTCGCTGCATTGCCACACGAACGCCATTACTCGTAGCTCCACAGCATTCATATTGTAGCTTCACCAACTTGTTCTGCATGTTTTAGAAGTGGAATGAAGTTGATGGGTTCAACTATGTATCATCAGTACATGTTAAAGTAAAAAAGGGTCACTTCCTGTTACCACCAGGTGGCGCTATTAGTAAAGTGGGAAGTTAATATATTTGGACATTCAGGGTGGAGCCATCATCATCTCCAGCAAGATTGAAGCTTCGACGGTCAAGTATGTTGGCGTGACAGCATTTTGAAATTTTTTTGGCGAGTCGCCAAATTTGTCAAGCCCTAGCAGCCATGCCCTTTGCCCTACAGACATGCAGAGCACAACTTTTGATCAGCTTGGTATCTAGATGATCTGTACCAAATTTGAAGTCAATCGGTCGAAAACCCTGGGAGGAGTTCGTTTTAAAATTCAAAAATTCAAATCATAATGGCCGACTTCCTGTTGGGTTCAGGGCGTAGCTTTAATGAGTTTTTTGTATGTCTGGATATGATACATCCATGTATCGAATTTCGTCTGCCTACGACAAAGTAACCGAACTGCTCATTTCCTGTTACCACCAGGGGGCGCTATTATTAAAGTGGGAAGTTATGATATTGTGACGTTCAGGGCGGAGCCATCATCATTTCCAGCAAGTTTGAAGCTGCTACGATCAAGTATGTGGGCGTGACAGCATTTTGAAATTTTTTTGGCGAGTAGCCAATTTTTGTCACGCCCTAGCAGCCACGCCCTTTGAGTGACAGACATGCAGAGCACAACTTTTCATCAGCTTGGTATCTAGATGATAGGTACCAAATTTGAAGTCAACCGGTCGAAAACCCTAGGAGGAGTTCGTTTTAAAATTCAAAAATTCAAATCAAAATGGCTGACATCCTGTTGGGTTTAGGGCGTGGCACCAATGAGTTTTTTGTGTGTCTGGGTATGATACATATGTGTATCGAATTTCGTCTGCCTACGACAAAGTAACCGCACTGCTCACTTCCTGTTACCACCGGGGGGCGCTATTAGTAAAGTGGGAAATTATGATATCATGACGTTCAAGGCGGAGCCTTCATCATTTCCAGCAAGTTTGAAGCTGCTACGATCAAGTATGTTGGTGTGAGAACATTTTGAAATTTTTTTGGCGAGTCGCCAATATTTGTCACGCCCTAGCAGCTACGCCCTTTGACCGACAGACATGCAGAGCACAAGGTTTGATCAGCTTGGTCTCCAGATGATCTGTACCAAATTTGAAGTCAATCGGTCGAAAACCCTAGGAGGAGTTCATTTTAAAATTCAAAAATTCAAATCAAAATGGCCGACTTCCTGTTGGGTTTAGGGCGTGGCTCCAATAAGTTTTTTGTATGTCTGGGTATGATACATATGTGTATCGAATTTTCGTCTGCCTACAACAAAGTAACCCGAACTGGTCACTTCCTGTTACCACAGGGGGGCGCTATTAGTAATGTGGGAAGTTATTACATCATGACGTTCAGGGCGGAGACGTCATCAATTCCAGCAAGTTTGAAGCTGCTACGATCAAGTATGTTGGCGTGAGAGCATTTTGAAATTTTTTGGCGAAGTCGCCAAAATTTGTCACGCCCCTAGCAGCCACGCCCTTTGACCAACAGATATGCAGAGCACAACTTTTGATCAGCTTGCTCTCTAGATGATCTGGACCAAATTTGAAGTCGATCGGGCAAAAAATCCCTAGGAGGAGTTCGTTTTCAAAGTAAAAACTAGTCACTTCCTGTTACCACTGGGGGGTGCTATTAGTAAAGTGAAAAGTTATGATATGGGGACGTTCAGGGCAGAGACATCATCATGTCCAGCAAGTTTGAAGCTGGTAAGATCAAGTATATGGGCGTGAGAGCATTTTGAAATTTTTTTGTCGAGTTGCCAAATTTAGTCACGCCCTAGCAGCCACGCCC